TTTATTTTCTTCTTTCTTTTTTTTATTTATTTATTAGCAAGAGTTATTTTTTTAGTTGGCATATAAGGTTTTGATTTTTAACAAAAAGTTGAATGATATGATATTAGGGCATTGTTATCAAACTCGGTAAAATCTTTTTTTAGCTAAACTAGCGATATAAACTTCAAAAAATCAACTCCATCAGTCTCGCTTTAGCTCATTTCATTTTATGATTGCTACAGTACCTCGCTTGTTAAGCGAGGTATTGTTCATTGCTACAACAAGCAGAACATCAAGCAAATTAATGTTACCGGATGTCCGCCTGAAAATTCGGCCAAACGTCCAACCAGTCAATGGCAATTTATTTTTTATATTTTTTTTTGTGTTTTTTAAGAATTGTTTGGTTGGTAACTCATCAATTTAATAGAAAAGAAAGTACAAAAGAGGTGACTAACTAAAATAACAAAATAGGTTTTTAAGCTCTAATTTAACTAAATATTTGAAGAAGCTAGTGTGGATACTCTTATTTCAGCAATGCTAGGTATCATGAAAAATCTTTCATGAAAATGGTCATGAAAGATTTGTGACCTTTGGATTACACTTACAATAAAGCACCACACAATAATCAAGGTAATCTAAGGGTCACAAATTTTTCATGACCCTTTTCATGACAAAACTTTCATGATCTCTAACATTTCTCCTCTTATTTTTGGTTTGTCCTTCTCTCCTTGTGTGTGGTAAAACAAAAGTGACCCAACTAGTTATATAAAAAAAATTAACTTTCAATTTATTACAATTTAAGTAAAGTTGATAATCATCAAAGCCAAGGTTTTGAAAATCGGATTGAATTGGCCAGTTCGACTATTTTTATTTATAACTTTTTTTTTCTTTCTTTTCTTTCTTATTTTATATATATGCATATATATATATATATATATATATGTGTGTGTGTATGTATATAACATATAAGAATATAAGAAAATTTTAATTAGAAATTCTCTTTTAAGGGTCTCTTCTTGTGAGGAATCCCTTTAAGAGTTTGAAATTATTGTGAAAATCTCCACCTATTTATAAGAAAAAAAAATTCTTTCAAAAAAATTCAAGAAATCCATGTGGGATTCAATCAAATGTATTGGACAGAATATTGAAATTTTGATATCCCTTCAAAATTTTTGCTCTTTTTTTAATCAAATTATTTAAATTAAAATCATATAGACGAAATATTAAATATTTAATTTTCTCTTTCAAAATTAAAATTAATAATATTTTAAAATATACTATTATATTTTTCACTAAAAAAATATTAAAACAAATATTTAAAATAATTTAATATTTTTAATTTATAATTTTAATATATTTATTACAGCACAGCACGATTTCAATTCAACCCAACAATTAAATTGGTAACCCCTCCACGCGACCCCATTCCAATTCGCTGCCCAATTTTTAAAACATTGATCAAGGCTTTCAATGCAGATACCAATGGCAGCTCAATGCCCGCGATTAGGGAATATGGAAGGATAGATGTACATAGTAAGGTGTTATTTGGGATGTCTTAAATAAGTATATTTTTTATCTTTTTAAATTAAAAAATTAAAAAAAAAATGGATATTTAAGTTAATTTTTTGACTTTTTATGAAAAAATATGTATTAAAAAATTGTATAAATTAGTGTGCAGGAAAAAATTAGGATTGGGAGTTGTGTAGCCGTAATTTTTGACTTTTGGTGAATTGTGATAATTTTTTAACTTTTTGAGTAACTTTTTGACTTTTTACCTTTTTTTCAACTTGTCAAACTTGACCTAAATTATTGTTTTAACCTCCGTCTAGCAAGTTGGTTTTGAGGCTTTTTTTGGTTAAAATAGTTATAGAAAATAAAATAAATTTTTTAATCTAATAAGATAAAATATCACATCTAACTCATAATCATTATATTTTTTTTTCACAAAAAAACTAAAAATCATTTCCAAACCAGACTTTTTAGTCTCAGGCTAAAATAACCAAAAAAATCAAAAAGCCAACCCACTTCCTAAATAAGCTCTAAAAATGGAAAAAAAATTGGGGGCTCTAATAAGTTGGTCCCACATATAAACATTAATAAAATAAAAAATAAAAAAATAATAGTCCGGCGGACTATTTTTCTAACACTATCTCTACTCCCTCCTCCACCTCCATCTCCATCTCCACCTCCTCCATCACAATCTCTCTTCCAAGGCCTATCCTAATACTAAGGCCCCGTTTGTTTTGGGTTATAGTAAGGGGATTAGGATTACTAGTACCTTGGGATTAGTATATGGGGTGTTTGTTTTGAGAGATAGCCTTGGGACTATTAATACCTTGGGACTAACTAATACCTTGGTATTACTAATACCAATCCCCTCATTATTAATCCCCTCACTATCAATCCCCTCACTAACAATCCCCTCATTATTAATCCCCTCACTATCAATCCCCTCACTAACAATCCCCTCATTATTAATCCCCTCACTATCAATCCCCTCACTAACAATCCCCTCATTATTAATCCCCTCACTATCAATCCCCTCACTAACAATCCCCTCATTATTAATCCCCTCACTATCAATCCCCTCACTAACAATCCCCTCATTATTAATCCCCTCACTATCAATCCCCTCCATTCTATCTCTGAAAACAAACGACCATCACTAACAATCCCCTCACTATTAATCCCCTCACTATCAATCCCCTCCATTCCATCTCTGGAAACAAACGGGGCCTAAGGGATTAGGAGTCTCCTCCTCATCTCTCAAAACAAACATAACATATAATGGGTCTCACCTCACTATCAAATCCAATCTCCTCTCTATAACCCCAAACAAACTGGGCCACAGAGCTTTAGTGAAGCGCTAATGAGCCGGCCTCCACCCATGATATGATGTTTGTGAATTTTTCTTCTCTTTTTTTTCACATCACTAGAGTTTAAATTAGAGTTCTAAATTTAAAATTCTGTATCTTTTCTCTCAATTAATAGTATAAAAAGACATATTGATATTAATTTTCTTATTATAGTAGTGTACGGTGAATCAAGTGACAAGGTTATGAATTTGTTAAATTTATTGTGATTAGACTCATGAATAAGTTATGAATTACGTAGATTTGTTTCGACTAGATGATTTTAAAGAGTAATTTTTTTTTAAAGATAAAAAAGTTATTTAAAAAAAAAGCAAAACAAAAATATAAGATTTTCTCTTTCTTTTTTTTTAAATTTGATTTATATAACAAGTTTTTTGTTAGAACATTAGGCTTATATAAGTTGTAAATAAAAAGTTTTAATAAAATTTGATTGTTAAATGTTTATAACCGTCCAGAGGAGATAGACTTTATTTTTTTTGACTTTATTTTTTTCTTTTTTACTGAAAGCTTAAAAAAAAAAAAAAACGTGAAAACAAAGTTGTCTTTTACTCCATCTGTCCCATATGATTGGGGCTGTACAAAATATCACATAATCTGTTAAAATCTCACCGATCCGCTTCGATCCGCAAAGCTCTAATCGCTAACTATGGTTTAAACTTTAAAATTTATAATCTGTCAACTAAACCGTTCTGCTCTGCTATAATTAATACATATATTTTTAAATTTCTAATGAAATATCAATGTAAAAGTGAGTGTGATAGAGATTTAAGATATGAAATTTATTACAAATTAGTAGTTATATATATAAAACATATTATTTAAAATTATTTTGTGTTATATATCTAAAAAATATTATACAAATTAATGTCATATATTATGTAAATATATGATAATTAGTTAGAATATTCTTTAATCCTCTAATTCGCTAAAAATTGTCCAAACTGTAATTTGTTAATCTACTAATCCGCTAATCCGTCATTCAATTTATAATTTTACTCTTAAACTGTTCGAATCGCACCGCACACACCCCTGCATATGATAGTCTTTTTCTAAAAGGGTGATGCTATACAACTTTTATAATGTTTTAAGAAGACATGCATAATTGAAAATTGAAAATATTAATTTTCAAAATACCCCTTCTGCTCCCATTTTTAAATATATTTATAATTATTTTTTTATTTGATTCATATTAGATATTATAATAAATCCTAATAAATTACAATAATAATAATGATCAAATATAGGACTTACACTGAAAGATTTTGACCAATTCAATAATTTTATAAACTTTTAAACTTAAAATTTTGACTGTGGATATATATTTTAGAATGACCAAAAATAAAATAATAGACAAATGAAATGAAACGAAAGTAGTAAAAAGTTTTAGCCAAATGAATATCGATATGAAAAAGATAATTGACAGGGAGAGAGAGAAAGGGGGAAAATTAAGCAAGCTGTGGTAGAGAAAAGTTGATGGAACCCAATTCATTTATTTGAGAAATTTTTGTATGTCAGTTGAGTATTACGTAGCATTATTTTTTATTAATCATAAATGTATATATATTTTATTATTCTTTAAATACTTAACATAAATGTAATAGATTTTACTATCAAAACTAATCACAATAATAAAAAGTACCACATGACATATATCCTATCCGCATATAAAAATTTATCTATTTATTTCTATAGCTCCCAGGTAATCATATGGATACAACTAATATATAATATTATTTATGATAATATATGATATTTTTACCATTAACTAAAAAAAAGTTTACAAAAGCATCCACGGTGGAGCTGTTAGTAGGTATTTTAGTGTCAACTGTTATTTTTTAACAAGTCATTTTCTATTTTTGCTCTCACAATGGAGCCGTTAGTAGGTGTGTTAGTGGTGTACGTTAATATGTTTGTCATCTACAGCTAGCGTTTTAGCTAGCGAAGGGGAACGTTTTTTTTATTTTACCGGTTGACCGGTCAACGGCAAATTTTTTTTTTTTTAACTTGTTGGTATTTTTTTTTGGACTTGAAATTTTTGATTAAACTAAATTATTTATTTATTTTATTTATTATATACATATATATATATTTAATACACCCCTTAACACATCTATTATACCACCATTCATTCACTATTTACTCACTAAATTAACAAATTCTTAACATATATTTTTTGATCTCACTTCTAATATTTTTTATTATATAACACACTTTAACACATAATTTTAACACATCCATCCTGGATGCCCTACCCTTTCACATAGAAAAAGAAGACTTTGGAGAAGACTTTGTTTGAAGGGAAAACCAAAGGACACTGGCATTGTCTTGACAGGGACTAGTGCACATGTGAATCATTATCGACGATATTTGATTATATCACGGATATTAATACATATCCTGTTAGGTCAATTCCGATTGAGGAGCTCCTCTATCATTTGCAATGCCATTTTCTCCTCTTCCCCCAACCCTTCTCCCATTTCTGTCGCTGGCGACTCTGCGGCCGCTGGTTCCTCTTCGGGTGGTGAAGGTTCGGTTTTGTTGCCGAGCTCCACCGTCATGACCCAGTTGGAGTCGGAGCGTGATCCGGCCCCTTTTTGCCAAACACCGATGTGGGAGTTATCCGGGTCGAGCCTCAGGCAGGTGAGAGATGGCGACGGTGACTTACAGCATTTTCTAAGCTTCGCGCTCAGCACCGATGACAGCGCTGATGGGCACGTGTCGTGGGTGGATTGGCTGGCGGTGGTGATCGGAAAGTTGGTTTTGGCGTTATGGCCGCTCATGAGAATGGCGGCCTCGTCGTAGGCACGCGCCGCCTCTTCGGCGGTCTCGAAAGTGCCCAGCCACACCCTCCTCTTCCTGAAATTACAAATATGAATTAAAAAAAAATAAAAAAAAAAGAAGAAGATTGGGAAGTGAAGTGAGAAAAATTGAAAGAGATTTGTGAAGAACAAACGCCCAAATAATCCACGTTAATGTAATATAGGGGAGAGAGAGAGAGAGAAAGATAGACATATACAGCAAAGGATGGCGAATCTCAGCAACCCAAGAACCCCAGTGGCGTTGCCTGACACCTCTGTACTTTTTTGACTGTACCATGTTTTTTGTCAGAGAGTTTTTTAGAAGAAAAAAATTATGAGAGAAAGAGACAGAGAGAGGGGGAAGCAGAAACTACGGGAGATGTGGTGGAACTTAATGCCTCTGCGATGAAATATAAAGGGGCGAGGGAAGCTGGGAGTTAGTTAGGTCCAGCAGCAGCAGTACATGGACCACAGCCCTGGGCCGCTGCCTGGATATTGCTGCTTTTTTTTTTTTTAGTTCAGCGGTAAGGGTGTACGGGTTAATTTACTCTCAATTCAATTAAATTTTTATCTGATCCCGTCCAAAACAGGCCGTCCACGACGATACTGAAAATTTCAGAGAAATTACGGTAACATTTAAAGTCTGTATGGTAACATTTACGTTTTCAGTTTATATTTATAAAAATTTTATAAATTAATTTTTGTTTATTTTTTTGTTTATTTTTAGAAAAATATAAAGTACAAACGCGTTTGGTAATTAACAAAATGTTTTTAAAAATTTAAAAATATAAAAAAAAGTGAGAAATGACAGCGGAAGACGGTGGTGGAAAATGGTGGTGGAAAGTGGTGACGGTAGGCGGTGGGTAGCAGGTGGTGGTGGGTGAGTGGGTGACGGTGGCGGGTGGTAGCGAGTGGGTGGGGGTGGTGGTGGTGGTGGTGGTTGTGGTGGTTGGTTGGGTAACGGTGGCGGGTGGTAGGTGGTAGGTGGTAGCGAGTGGGTGGTGGCGGCAGGTAGGTGGTGGGTGATAGTGGTGGTGGCGGGGGGATGGCAGGTGGCTAGTGGTGGTGGGTGGCTGGTGGTGGCAGGTGGTGGATGGGGGCGGCGGGGGGGTGGTGAGTGGTAATGGCAAGTAGGTGGCGGATGGTGGTAGCGGGTGGTGGTAGTGGCGGGTGGTGGTAGCGGGCGGTGGATGGTAGTGGTGGGTGATGGCGGGTGGATGGCAGGTGGCTGGTGGTGGCGAGTGGATGGCAGGTGGGTGGTGGGTAGTGGTGGTGAGGGGTGGGTAGTGGTGACGAGTGGGTGGCAGGTGGGTGGTGGGTGATGGGGGGTGGTGGCGGGGGGGGGCTAATGTTGGGTGATAAAAAAAAACTGAAAACTCAAAATGGAAACACATTTTTTGTGTTTTCATTTTTTGGGTGGAAAATGGTGGCGGGTGGTGGCTAGTGTTGGGTGGTAAAAAAAAAACTGAAAACTCAAAATGGAAACACATTTTTTCGTTAAGGTACAGTTGGCCAAATTTATAAACTGAGACCACTGATTTATAAATCAAAAATTTACCAAATAAGTTTTTATTTGAGTTTTTAAAATTTTTGTAAATATAAATAGAAAACTGAAAACGTAAGTGTTACCAAACGACACCTTAGTAAAGTTTTCTAAATATAATTTGATAATATAATTGTATTTTAAATTTATAAATTTTAAAATTATAATTTGAATGTCAAAAATTTGTTTAGTTATAAGTCTTGAGAAGAGTTTTGAGTTGAATGTTGAATTGAATTTTGAATATTTGATGTCACATGTGAAATAAGAAAATTTGTTTGGTTATGAGTTTTGAAAAGAGTTCAAAATTTAATTCAAATTATTATAACTCATAACCAAACACACTAATCAAAACTCTATTAAAAATTCTAATCAACATTCATAACCAAATTCTTTTTAAAATTCAATTAAAAAAATTAATTATTAACAAAAAAAATAACATTAATCAAATTTTTAATTAAAAATATTACAAAGAAAATAATTTTATTTCAAAATTAATATTCAATTACAGATTTAAAATAATTTTTATTGTATATTTGATTCGAATTGTTTTTTTAAAATATTTTTGATTTAAAATATTGAAAATATTTTTTTTTTTTGTTAAAAAAATCAAAAACAAATTCTCAATTTTTTTTTTTCAAATAACAAGTGCCATTTGCCACAAAAAAAAAAAAGAGTATTCTAGTCAACCGGCCAGACATCCGGGGAGATGTCCGAGAGGATGACCAAGTAAACCAAAATTGCACTTTTTAAAGTTCAAAATTCAAAAACTCACTCTACTGTCAAATAAGTTTTCAAATGAGTTTTGAAATGTGATTTACAATCAATTTTGGAAAGCTTAAACCAAATAATGTGTTGAAAATAGCTTTGGAATTAAGATTCTAGAGCTATACCAAACACATTTGCTGCCTAATCCTAAGAATCAAACCTGAGCATTTGTGTGGGAGCATATCCACTAACTACTAAGGAAAAAAAAAATTAGTAAAAATGTTAAGAATTTTATCACGAAAAGTGATGTGTAATTTAAATTAATTATTATGTTGAGAGAGTTACACTTAAAACAAATGCCTAACATTAGATATATCAAAAAATTTATCAAATGTTTCAAATGGGTATGAGATATACACAATGTGAATTTCATGTGAGTCACACAACCATATCAGATATTTAATAAAAAAATTTTGAATTTCTAATATTTTTTAAAACAAATCACAATCAATCATTTTATCGAAAGTTTCACATGGGTATGGGATTTACACAATGTGAATTTTATGTTAGTCACACACCCATATCAGATATTTAATAAAAAATTTAATAAAATTTTTTGAATTTCTAATATTTTTGAAAACAAATCACAATCAATCAAATATTATATTATTTGGACAATTTTTTTGACTTCATGGTATTATTGTATTTGAGTTCATCAAAATGTTTGGTACCGATACGAAAATGACTCATCCTAAAATTTGGTAGCGATACGTAATGATAATGAAGAATGTAGTGTCGTGGTGGATTAGTACACGCTTTAATGTTAAAATTAGCAATTTTCTTGTTTAGAAACTTTTAAACAAGCCACTTTTTTTTTAAAATATTTTTTTCAATATTATGTCAATTTTTTTTAATACCTTTTCAGTTCATCTTTTCTTGTGTAGATGAACCTAAAGAGTGTGGATTCAAATGCAAAGGGAAAATAGAATTTTTAACATTGTGTTTTATATATATATATATATATTTTAATAAAGAAAATAGAATACTTCATATACACCTTATTAACTTTTTTTTTTTTTGGATAAAGTTGGTGGATTTTTTTTTTTTAACAGAAGGTGGTGGAAATTGAAACCCTAATATCAACGTGAGACTGCACAGATCCAATTTATTTTTTTTGTTACAAACCCTAGGTTTTTTGTTTTTTTTTTTTTTTGTTCTTGTAATTTCTTTTTTTTTTTTCTGGGTCTCCTACATTAAATGATTATTGATTTTGACCCACTCAAAATAGGAAACATCAACTATAAATTGTTAGAATAATCTTCTGTATAAAATAAATAACTTGAAACAAATTAAATAAATAAAAATAAATTACTTACAGAATTTATTTTACCGAAATGAATACGTACAAAAATAGATCGAGTCGAGTGTGTAACACTTTATCCTTAAGACAGATTCGCCCTACTTCGGTGCTTACGAATAAATGGCGTCTATCTCTCAGGATACAATGATCTTTACACAAATTGTAGTAGCACACCAAACAATTAGTACGGCGAACAAAACCTGTATTCTCTACTCTCTGAATTTTACTCTAAAACTAGTATGAAGAATAATGATGCAAGAGAGAAAAATAAAGGCAACAAAATGAATTTTTTGGAATTAAAAAAAAAAATGTTGGAACAGATCTGGTATTTATAGGGCCAAACAGGTCTGAAAATCAAACCGAACAGGTAGCTTTTTGAATTCAACAGGTACAAGACATTTTTTGAGAGATAACTGTTAGGCAGTTTCAAATCTGTTTGAATAGATAAGTGCCTGGGCAGTTTCAAACCTGTTTGGAAGAAATTGACGCTATCTGGAACTGCTAGGCAGTTTAGAACAGTTTAAACAGTTGGAAATTGGACCAGAAGAGACACAATTTTGGATAGAAAAAATTAAATTAATTTTCCCTCAAGAATTTTTGAAAAAATTCAAAATAAATTTTGTCTAAAAAAATAATATTATAACTGACCCGACCCACACTCGTGCCCGGCACGGCTTGGCCGATCGGACGGACTATGGTGGCGGAACGCACGTGTGTGGTGGTTTGGGCTAAGGCCTATTTTGTTCATAACTCCTCTCTTCTACAAACTTGGGGTGCCCCATGGGACCTAACCCAAGTGTTGCCACCTAGAACTTATATACACACATAAGTTCTTTTAAAGTTTCAATGCGGGACAAACCTTACAGGGAAGCCCACATTTTATTCTTTAATTGTCCATCCCACGAACCTGAAAACAACGTCAACTTCTCATTCACTCATAAATGGTTTTGACGAACTGTTTCCACCGTATGACTTGTCACGCAGTAAGGAACACGTCACCTATTTGGACCCATCTCAAAAGACGTGTGAGACCCACTCAAATTTGCGTTCAAAGTTGGCCAAAAATAAGCTTATAAAAATCATATTTTTCCAACAATCCCCCATATGAATGGAATTTGACAGAGAGAAAATGCAACAACATGATCTAATTACAGAGAGTACAGAAATTTAAAATATTCTGCAAAGGATATGTAACTTTTAGTTTTGAATCTTCCTTTGTGAGACACTATCGGATTTACTAGCTAACCAGTGAACATGATGTCTTGAACTGTTCAGCCGTTTGTGTAAACCAAGACAATATAACTCACACAGTGTATTATCAGACACAGTTTAGTTCTCACTATTGTGTTCATTTTGGTCCTGAAAAACCTGGTCTTTCATGAGTACTCTAGAGAATTGTAGCCTTCACAAATCTCATAGAACTGGCCCAGTGCACACTCATATAGGTGATTCTTATGAAGAGTGTTCTGCCATACTCCACTAGGTACTCTTAAATATAAGAATCATTAAAAGTATTACTTTAACCTAAAACACTGTAGGCATCACTATTTCATCATAGAAATGGGTAGGAGTTTGACTCCCCAGTGATCTTTATGAGTTATACACAACTCGATTGTCCCTTTGAACCTAGATCTTGGGATCTCCAGTCAACTAGGTTGGGTTGCCGTTGTGGTAACTCTTATTTAATAAGCTTAAGTCTCATTTCCCTCGATGAATTCTCAACTAACTCTCTTGCTAACCCTTTGGTTAGTGAATCTGCTATGTTGTCTTTAGACTTCACAT